CAAGGCCGGCGGTGGCGGCCGGGACTGTTGGGGGCGGGGTGTGTGGCCTTATGGCACACTTCCGGTGATGTCAGGGTGTGTGGAATATGCTAATGAATTATGCTAATGAGTTCCCCTAGCTCTTTTTCTACAAAATGACCCCTGAGCTTAAGTCTGAATTTTGCAATGAGTAGCTCATATTCTTAGCTTCTATGAGGACTTTACATTTTAATATGTTCTTCATTTTCTCATGTATTTCTCATGTATCTGCTTGCTTTTTTACAAGTCCACCACATATAGTGAAAGGTTCCATCTATATCTAGATCTTACATTCCAGGTTCCTATGCAGTATTGTTCTTTGCAGCATCGGACTTTCCAGTGGATCACACTTGGTCTGAGTTCTCTGCTGTGGCCTGTCCATCTTGGGTGGCCCTCCACGGTATAGCCCACAGCCTCATCAAACCATGCAAGGCAGTGATCCATGAGGGAGATTAGGCAAAAAGATATTGGAAGGAAATACATGAGAAAATGCAGAACATATTAAAATGTAAAGTCCCTATAGAAGATTAGGTAGTATACCTAATAGCATATTCTTAGCTTCTATAGGGACTTTACATTTTAATATGTTCTGCATTTTCTCATGTATTTCCTTCCAATATCTTTTTGCTTTTTTACAAGTCCACCACATATAGTGAAAGGTTCCATCTATGTCTTGACATTTCCAGCATTTTGTCTACTTTCTCAATATACTATGGAGGTTATATACTATCTAAAAAACATTTGGTGCCAGTTTTCTCCTAACATGTGGCTGGCTGTAAACTTAATTTCTTTTCCCCATAACCCCATTGATGCATAGGTATCTGCTCTCTGAAATTCTGCATCCATTTAGTAATACATTTTTTTCACTTGTTCTTCTGTTTCTAACTGAATAACTTATATATCCATTGTAGTAAAGGGTCTTTTTGTTTTATAATCAGCTGTTCAAACTCAGTCATCTCTCTTAGAGCTCCACCTTTCGTGTTGATC